GGCAGTAACATAGAGGGTGTGAGCATAGATCTAGAATCTATCTAGTTCTATGGGTCTGGGGGAATGCATAGGCGCGATAGGTAAACGTTGATCTGCCGAGTTTCCTTGTGTTCATCACGTCGCGCGAGATCCCGCGAGAAATCAGGGCGCGGGAATGCTACCGTGGACGAACGGTGTGGCATTTCTGCCATTTCTTTGGTATGGGCGTTATTGGCGTCTCCGAGGGATGTATAGCAAGCACAGCGTCGCGTGTATGCGACTCTAATACTGCTCTCTGTATACACAGCCACATGCGTGCCTGCAGCAAGCGTGATTCTCATCGGATGACATATTCAGATAGTATAACGTGCCCGCATGCACGCACCGACGCACGCTGCTGAATGCGAGGGGCTGGCTGCACAAGCCGCAATAACAACCACCTCATCACATCTGTTAAAGCGGCATATTCTCGCAGGAAAAATATACAGATATACCTACTGTGAGCATGTCTTTGTTGTAAAAATTCACTAGCAATCATTTGTATAAGGCTACTTTCATAAAATTTTTCAGGCAAATACTTAAACAGACTTAAAGAAACAGTAGTAAATACAGCAAATCCCTCAAATTTATGCTGTGCTATTGCGCATGTGCGGTGCTGCCGATTCTGACAGTTCTTTTCTATGATAAAACAAGTTATAATTTATTATTCGAATGTTTGACTCAAGTACCAAATTTGTGAATATTTGTTTAATCCATCATGTTTTCTCCATTACTATATAGCAATCAGCAAACAAATTCTACTATATTTTTCGTTCCAAGAACTATTTGCGCTAACCAGCCGCTTTAACCCCCATATTGCTTCGCGTTGCAAGACAACGCAACGACAGACAGGTAAAGTTAATTACGCAACAATGCGTGTGCGAGTGTGTGCGTGCGTGCGTGTGGAAACGGTGTCTATTCAACGTTGCTCGCTAATATATGCATGCTCGCATGATCGAAGCGGAAAAGTATCGAGTCCTGCCATTGTGTCCATCTTGCGCAACGCCACGACACAATACCAGCAACGTATTAATACTTTATTATCAATTACTCACGCAAGAAACGCGTGCGATAGCAGATGTTCGAGCGCGCTTCACGGTAGAATGCACGCGTATAGGAAGAGGGTACACCCTACTCCCTCGCAGTGAATTGCTAGGTATAGACGCTAGCGGTGGAACGCAAAGAAAAGGAAAGCGGTAGAAAACTCGGGGTTCGTCATCGTGTTAGATGACGGTGGTAATTGGTTGGATCACCGTTCGGCCAACCTCGGACAATTCCGTTACTCTCCGTCGTTACCTCGGCTGTACGATGTAGGTGAATATTTGCCTATTCATCGCCTTCTCCGCTACAGTGTTATCGGGGACATCAATCTATTTAACCAATGCTACGTATATACTACCAGGAGTTTATAATGACAATTTTTTGTCATTATTAACCCCTGATACTACTGCGCTAAGCTAGACGATGCAATGGCGGCCAGCCGATGTGTGTGGCCCCGCAGTAATATTCTTACCGCTTTTTCTACTTCGTCGTCGGAAATTACCCAGCATTATCGAGGTGAAAACATATACCTCTACCCCTACTTTACCGTTTGTAACAGCGGACTCGTATAACAGAATCATTGCAAAGCGGATAGCACTATTCTATTCAATTTTCACGTCATTATTTACATCGGGTTTTTCGTCCAGCGGGGCCATGAATTCTCATGGGATTATTTGGTTCAGGAGCATCCAAGAAACTGCGGTCCTAGCAACCTATAAATACGTCACACAGCCGAGGCTAGATAGATAAAGGTGCGGCATCGACCGAGCTGTGACGAGCGGGTGCGTTTGCGTAAAAAACTAGAAGGGACTATACAATATATATATACAACATATAAATATGTATGTATGTATGTATGTATGTATGTATGTATGTATGTATGTATGTATGTATGTATGTATGTATGTATGTATGTATGTATGTATGTAT